GCCTCAGGATTTAACTGCCTTGAGCTTCATTTGTTTGTCTGTTAAATGGGGGTAATATTGTTCTGCTCACAAGGGCTTTTGAGATTCAAAAAAATGGCTTATGAAAGTATCTGGCATCCTTGCTTGAAAGATACTTCCTTCCACATGTCATTTATTCATTTCATTAAAGACAGTTTTTTGAAAGACTCTTTCCTTCCTCTTTCTCCAGGTTTCTTTTCTCCGGGCTAAATATCCCCAGCTCCTCTCGTCTTCGTTCATTCATTCAAAACATACCGTGAGCTCTCTTCCCTGCTAAAATTTACATTCTAGAGGGAAAACAGATAGTAAGCAATACACATGGTAACGAAGTAAAGCATCTGCTGTGTTACAAGATAATAGGTGTCATGGTTGTGAACAGCCAAGATAAAGGAAATTAGGAGTCTGGGAGTGAGTGGTTTTTGTTTTTGTTTTTGTTTTTGTTTGTTTGTTTGTTTGTTTTTTTACTGTGGCTGTGTGACAAATTATCCCCAAAACTTAGTGGCTAAAAGCAACAAAGATCATTTATCATCTCTCTTTGCTGGGGATCTAAACTTCAGATAAGATTTAGTGGCTGTGATTTATCTCTGTCCCATGACGTCTGGGACCTCAGGCAGAAGACTTGAAGGATGGCATCTGGAATAATCTAAAGGCTCATTCTTTCGTATGTCTGGCAGTTGAGGACCATCTTCTGTGGTCCTCGGTTCTTTTCCACATGACCCTCTGCATGTGACCTGGGCTTCCTCACAGCATGGGAACTGCGTTCCCAGGGTGAGTGTCTCAAGAAAGAGATCCGGGGAGAGGCCATTATTGCCTTTTGTGTCTGAAGCTCAGAAGCTCTACAGCATCACTTCCATGACATTCTGTGGCCAGGGCAGTTTCAGAGTTTTTCTTGGGTTCAAGAAGGAACATAGACCCCCACCTGTCAAGGGGAGAGTATCAGTGTCAGGTTGTAAGAAGTGCATGTGGGAGACACACGGATGCAGCCATCTTTGGAAAGTACTGTCTGCCATGATGGGCAAGGTAGGTTCATGGATAAGGTAACATTTGAGCGAAGATTTAAAGGAGATGAGGGAGTGAGCCATACGCCCGTCTCCATCTGGGCAGAGCATTCCAGGCTGACACAAGAGCCTGTGCAAAGGCCCCGAGATGGGGATTGGACCAAGGGTATTTGGAGGCTAGGATGACTGGAGCCAATCATCAAAGAAGAGAGTGGTGGGAAAGGTGGTCTGGGGGATATGGGGGGAAGGGGACAGACCATGGGGGCTTCATAGGCCACTGCAAGTACTTTGGCTTTTACTCTGAGTGATATGGAGGGTCAAATGGAGGGCCTTGAGCAGACTTACATTTTAAAAGTTACTCTGGCTTCTGTGTGAATAGACAGGTGGAGAGTGGGTACAGAAGATGGGAGACAAGTTAGGAGACTGTGGCAGCAATCCAGCAAGAGAAGTCCGTGGCTCTGACCAAGATGGTAGTAAAGGTGGTGAGAGGTGGTTGGACCATAGATCTGCTTTGAAGTTTTAGCCAACGAAACTTCCTGATGGATTAGATGTGTGAGAAGTAGAGAGGTCAACATCAAAGAAGTCATTAGAAGGATGGAATTGCCATTTTCTGATACAGGAAAGACTGAATGTGTAACAGCGTTGCAGGTAAAAAAAATCAGGACTTCAGTTTTAGAGATGGCAAGCTTGAGATGTTTGTTAGATATCCAAGTGGAATTGTTGAAGAGGTAATTTTGATACATAAATAAGGAGTTCCAGAGAGGGATCTAAGCTGGAAATAAAAATGGATTAATCCTAGGCATTCAGGATGTTATTTAAATCATGATCCTGGAAGAAAACACCAAGGGATTGAGTGCAGCAGTAAAGAGGACGAGGACTGAGCCCTGAGGCCGCCATCATTAAGAGGCTGGGCACAAGAGAAGGAACCAGCAAAGGAAACTGGAAAGGAATGGCCAGGGTGTCCTAGAAACCTAGCAGAAAGTGTATCAAGGAGGAAGGACCTACTGAGGGCTCTGATTGGTCAAGACGGGGCTGAGAACCATTAACTTGAGCAATCACGGTGGTCATCGGGAGCCCAGACAAGAGCAGTTTCAGATGAGTCGTGGGACACATGCCTGAATGAAATGAGCTTATCGATAGTGGAAGGAGAGGGACTGGACAAGGCCAGCATAGACGACACTTTCCCTGAGTTTTGCTGCCAGGATGGGCAAGGAAGTAGAACAGTAGCTGGCTGGGGAAGAAGAATCAGGAGAAGGATTTGTTTTATTTTTTTAAGATGAGAGAAGTAACAACACATCTGCGTGCTGTTGGGAATGATCTAGTCGCGTGAAAGTTCGCAGGAGGGAGAGGGAGGAGGGAAGCCTTGGAGGGATATCCTGGAGTGTGCTTTACTTTCAAGGATCCTTGCTTTTCTCCGCGGCAGGGCATGTGTGGGGTGGGCATGGGTGGCAGAGATAAGAAAAGGAAAAGCCATCAGGCTACTGCCTGTTTTAAGCTGCCTTTCGGTGTCACTCCCTTCCCCTGTCTGTCTCTCCATGTGGACTGGGAACCCCAGCAGGTAGGGAAGTGGGAACCATAGCCACCACCTGGTCCTTTTTTTTTTTTTTCCTGAAACGGAGTCTAGCTCTGTCACCAGGCTGGAGTGCAGTAGCACCATCTCGGCTCACTGCAAGCTCCGCCTCCCGGGTTCAGGCCATTCTCCTGTCTCAGCCTCCCGAGTAGCTGGGACTACAGGCGCCCGCCACCACGCCCGACTAATTTTTTGTATTTTTAGTAGAGACAGGATTTCACCGTGTTAGCCAGGATGGTCTTGATCTCCTGACCTCGTGATCCATCCGCCTCGGCCTCCCAAAGTGCTGGGATGACAGGCGTGAGCCACTGCGCCCGGCCACCTGGTTCTTTTTACACTGTGAAGAGGAACCCTGAATGTAGATGGATAAACAGCACCTTTTAGTTCCTAGCAGATCACCATCTTCCTTCTTCTAGTCCTCTGAGACATACGCAGTCTGGCTTTAAAGCAGGGAGGGATCACTGAGCAGAGGTGCATGCAGGTGTCAGAAGGCCACGTGATGCCTCGTGCCAGTGACTGACCTGGGATGAGTCACTGTTCATTTAGGGAGAGAATCTCAAAAGGAATGACTAGTCATTGAGTAATTCCATTTCACCCTTGATTTTAGAAGAAAAGTGCCAGGAAGGGTAGCAATGAAATCATGAAAAAAAGTATTCCTAGTTTTTTCTTCGTACTGGTTGAAAAGAGAAAGTGTCCCGTGCTTTCCCTTTCTCATCATCCTTCCATAGGGTGACTTAGGGTATCTTCCCATCAAAATCGGTAATTCCTCACTTATCTCATCCCCTGTATTTCACTCTTGTGAAATAGATTTTCAGTTTTACAGATGAGAAAAATTAAGCTTTGAAATGGTAACACCGTTTGATATATTTGTGCAGTGGCAATTTTTTAGCTCGCAATTTGTCAAAAGCCTGCCACTTAATGACACAGAATTAAAACCAACTATCCCAGACCATTAAAAGAGACTGGGGCTGGGGAGGGAGAGGCGGTGCAAATGGTGTTGCTTTTGTCTTTCCGACCTGCCTCTCTCATGATGTGCTCTGCGATCGGTAAGAACATTGGATGAATTATAAGGTTTTAATCAGTAGAATAAAGTCAGGGTGGTCCTTTCATTTTAAGTGGCAGCTCAAATGTTTCGAACATTTGATGAGGAAATTAGAATTCTTAGAATAGGAGTTTAGTGTTTAAACATCAAGAATTAATCCAGAAATGAGTATATTAAGAGTCTGTGAAATGCCTTTACCTCACACTGCCCCTTACCCTCTTTTCTTCTTTTCTGTGATAAGATTATCATGGTTTAGTTTTGCTTTTTCTTTTGAGATGGAGTCTTGCTCTGTGGCCCAGCCTGGAGTGCAATGGCTCTATCTGGGCTCACTGCAACCTCCGCCTCCCGGGTTCAAGCGATTCTCCTGCTTCAGCCTCCTGGGATTACAGGCGTGCCGCCACCACGCCTGGCTAATTTTTGTATTTTTAGTAGAGATGGGGTTTCACCATGTTGGCCAGGCTGGTCTCGAACTCCTGACCTCAGGCGAGCCGCCTGCGTTGGCCCTCCTAAAGTGCTGGGATGACAGGTGTGAGCCACCATGCCTGGCCAAGATTATTGTGTTTTAAGTGTTACAGGATACTTGAATGTTGTACGATGTCATTTAAACAGCCTGTGTTATGAATGATGCTGGCCGCCTCCCCTCCCACCTTTCCCTGCACACTCTGTGTCCCCTTTAGTGCTTTGACCCCTTACTCCTTGCGGTCACCCATGAATTGCATTTTGTATTTAAAGACCTCCCTGCACAGTATCCTCTTATCTGTGTGAGCAGCCCACAGTCTCAGCACCCTACACCCTGGCTGGAGTTCACCTCTGGTTTGGTGTTATATTTCTAAAACCAGTTTGATTGTTTCTGTTGCGCTGGGGCTTGTGTTTTTCCAGTGCCCTGTACAGAGCATGCCTTGACTGGTCTCCACATGGTTCTTCATCAGACTGGTTTGGATTTTACAAGGTGTTAGAGTTTTTTGATTAGCTCATGAGGTCTCGCACTTGAGTGTATGCCAGAGAAGTGATTCATCGGTAGAGTGATGAACGTAATGGGTGCCGTTTATCCCCAAAGATGCCCAGCTTTGTTCTGCTTAAGCTCAACATTGGTGGATAACAAACAATTCTTTGTAAATCGCGATTGCAGAATCCTGCTATTTTATGGCTTTGTTTTTCCTTTTGCTGTATAAATGACTGGGTAGCTCGTTCAGTGCACTCTGTTATGGTAAGGGACTGCTACAGAGGACACTGAGCAGGAGGAGAGAAGGAATGATTACACCTCAGTAAGAACGAGGGGTTTTTTAAGAGAAAAAAAACGAAGTAAGCCTAGCATATCTGATTGTACAGTCATTTTCCCCTTATTGTTCCTTTCTTATGTTTTCCCCTCCAGAGCTGCCCAGAAGTTAAATCTGTCTTCTAAAAAGAAGAAACATCGGCCCACTTCTTCCGCTGCCGAACCACCGCTCTTTGCCACCAGTTTCAGTGGGATTCTGCAGACCTCCCCTCCCCCAGCCCCGCCCTGTCTGCTGAGGGCTGTCAACAAGGTGAAGGACACCCCGGGGCTGGGCAAGGTAGGACCATCCGCCGTCCCTGCCATCTGCCCAGTGTGCGAGGTTCTGGATCAAGTTTCAGGAAGAAGAAAACGAGGGCTCCAATGTATTAAAATAAGACGGCACCAGGGAGAGAAGGAGGCAACATGAAATTCATTTGAAAGTCCTGAAAATTGTCATGCGTTGCATACACTAAGTAGTAAACTAAGACATGCAAATTGTAAGAGAACTGATTTGCTTTTGGTGGGAAAAATAAGCTTGGCATTGTTTGACAGAATCATAGCCATTTAAGGAAAAGACATAAAGGCACAAAGTATCGAGGCAGGGGCAGGAGACCGAGGGAAGCCACAGTACAAGGTACAGAAATGAGATGTAACAAGGCCTCGTAATTTCCCTGTGACACTTTTGGGTTTTTCCTTCCCCTTCAGAGAAATCCCGACTCCTGCTTTGAACCAGAACACCGAGGGGATTCGTGAGGAGCGTTTGCAGTCATGCCTTTCTAGCCAACAAGGGCAATTTTGAATTGTTACAGATGCTTAGAAAGAGATGTAGGATCATGCTTACAAGCCATTGCTCAGCTACATTTGGGATATCTTTATTTTTAAATGTCATTTCTAAAGGCACAAAGTATCGAGGCAGGGGCAGGAGACCGAGGGAAGCCACAGTACAAGGTACAGAAATGAGATGTAACAAGGCCTCGTAATTTCCCTGTGACACTTTTGGGTTTTTCCTTCCCCTTCAGAGAAATCCCGACTCCTGCTTTGAGCCAGAACGCCGAGGGGATTCGTGAGGAGCGTTTGCAGTCATGCCTTTCTAGCCAACAAGGGCAATTTCGAATTGTTACAAATGCTTAGAAAGAGATGTAGGATCATGCTTACAAGCCATTGCTCAGCTACATTTGGGATATCTTTATTTTTAAATGTCATTTCTAAATTCTTTCTCCCTTCCGAGGAAAGCGTTTGGGTGAAGTAACTTATGGTTTACTCATCACTGGTGAATAAGCCGCGGCTTATACAAACATGTAGTGAAAGAAAGAGGTGGCGGTTTTATTTTCCATTTTTATCAAAAATAGGAGTGGCGCACACGACCCCACCGGTCCTTTGCAGACTTAACGTGACTCCGGCCCTGGGCTGCATTTGGCCGGAGTTGCTAGTCTTGCTGAAGCTCCAGAGCAACTACTAAACTGTGCGGACTGAGATTCTACCTGTTCAGATCGCAGACTGCCAGTCCCCTGGCTTCCCAAACACGGTCCTGCCTGGGTCTCTGGGCATCGTCCCCTGGGTACCCAAACACGGTCGTGCCTGGGTCTCTGGGCATCAGAAGGCCTGTGTCTCTCTGGAGTCTCCCCTTACAACCTCTACCCTCTCTTCTTTCCTCCTTCCCCAGTTTCTCCCGTGTCCTTCCATCCTCTCCCACCCTCAATCTCACCACCTTGTTGGGAAGGTATTAACTTCATGTGGTACTTTTCCCCAAGAAGAGTTTAAATGTCAAGATTACATTGAATAGTTCGGGCACAGTGGCTCCCACCTGTAATCCCAGAGCTTTGGGAGGCCACAGCAAGAGGAGCACTTGAGGCCAGGAGTTCGAGACCAGCCTGGGTAACGTAGCAAGACCCTGTCTCTACAAAATATTTAAAAGTCAGCCGGGCACAGTGGCAGATGCCTGTAGTCCCGGCTACTCAGGAGGCTAAGGAGGGAGGATCACTCGAGCCCAGGAGTTTGAGGCTGCAGTGAGCAATGATCATGCCACTGCACTCCAGCCTGGGTCACAGAGTGTCTCTATTTTTTATTTATTTATTTATTTATTTATTTTTGAGACGGAGTCTCGCTCTGTCGCCCGGGCTGGAGTGCAGTGGCCGGATCTCAGCTCACTGCAAGCTCCGCCTCCCGGGTCCATGCCATTCTCCTGCCTCAGCCTCCCAAGTAGCTGGGACTACAGGCGCGCCACCTCGCCCGGCTAGTTTTTTGTATTTTTTTAGTAGAGACGGGGTTTCACCATGTTAGCCAGGATGGTCTCGATCTCCTGACCTCGTGATCCGCCCGTCTCGGCCTCCCAAAGTGCTGGGATTGTTTTTAAAAACTTACATTGAACAGAGCAGTCCTTCCTCTTGACGGGAAGCATCCAGTCCCGGAGTTTCCATGGCGGTGGGCAGGGCAGATGGTTTTCGCTGAGGGCTTTCCCAGGCCCCGCGGTAAAGAAACACCGGAGGCAGGGCGGCCGCCTGGGCTGTCTGTAGGGCCTGCCCCAGCGTCACTGGACATGGAAGCAGATGGAACAAAACAGTGTGGACCAGGACTCCTATCCAGGAGAGGACTCAGTGGGTGGGAGCCCCCGAGGAGGGGCCGTGGTACCCCACAGGGGCACACGAGTGTGATCGTGGATGGTTGATACGCTGCCTTCTGTGGAGGGTGGGTCCAAGTAACTGCTGGGATCTTCTATTCTTTTTTACATTTTTTATTTTTAATTGTGGTAAGATAGAGATAACATAAAATATACCATCTCAACTGCTTTTAAGTATACATGGGCGCTCTTGTTTTATAAAGAGGGATTTGGAACTTCGGTGCCGGAGCTGAACTGCCCCGGACACAGTGAAATCAAGCTGTCAGTGCAGCGACCTTCCCCTCCTGTGCTCTGAGCCACACCCACTTCTCTTCTGAATAAGTGTGAGCAAATATTTAGGTGGTATCCCCTTGAAAAGGTGTCAGATGATTAGCCAACCTGGGGTGCTCATGTACCCCAATACAGCCCTGTCCAGGGCACCTCAAAATGAAGCACATCAGAAACTTTCCTCCTGTATCTACAGTACTGGCCTTGTCTGTGGTTCCTAAAAGGGTTGATGTGGATGCATCTTCAGGTGGCTCTGACCTCTCCTCCTCTATCCCTAATGCCTTCCCTGGAATTCTGAGACAAGGACATCAGGGTGCCAAGGCCAGGGACCAAAACAGCAGAGTGTCCCAGCCAGCGGGATGACCCAGCACTGACACAAAAATAGTTTGGGGGGCAAAGGACACTGGTCCAATCTTGATTTCATGATATACCATATGTAGTGACCACAGGTAAGGGGCCTTACAATGAAGAGTTATGCTTGTTAGTAAAACTAAAGTTTGCATTTCACACTTTTTTTTAAATTAAAGATATCTCTCTCACTCATTTGCAATCCAAACTGCAATCAAAGCCCTGAGTTCACCCATGGGGCTGGGTCTTGGAGCGGGGCATCGGCCTGGGGTCACAGAACGTAACAGAAGGTGTGGCTTCCATCTGACCAGTGGCCACATGGCAGCTGAGTCCATCCTCCTGTCCTGCTCAGGCTTCTAGGGGGTGGGTGACAGTGAGGGGGAGGAAGTGACAGTTGGAGAGAAAGTGTACCATGACTGAAACAAGAAGCTGGCCGGGCGTGGTGGCTCACGCCTGTAATCCCAGCACTTTGGGAGGCTGAGGCAGGCAGATCACGAGGTCAGGGGTTCAAGACCAGCCTGACCAACATGGTGAAACCCTATCTCTCCTAAAAATACAAAGATTAGCCAAGTACGGTGGCACGCACCTGTAATCCCAGCTACTCAGGAGGCTGAGGCAGGAGAATTGCTTGAACCTGGGAGGCGGAGGTTGCAGTGAGCAGAGATTGTACCACTGTACTCCAGCCTTGGCGACAAGAGTGAGACTCCGTCTCAATAAAAAAGAAAAAAAAAAAAGAAAGGAACAAGAAGTTACCAAGACCCTGCCTGTTCCTGCACAGAGCATCTGGTTCTTCCATGTCAGCAGGCTCTTACTCTGCCCTACCATATGGACGCCAAACTGCCTGACCTCAGTAAAGGCCCTTCTTCCCAGACTCCTGCTTTTTCCACCTCCACTGATATCGCACCATAATTAGGAACAGCAGTTCTTTATACCCATGTGGAAAAATTTCCATCAATTTATCTCTGTTGCATAATTTATATTTTAATATCACCAAGAAATACAGTGGAGTTTAATATAGAACATAAATAATTAGTGCTATATATAAATCAGCAGGTTTGAGGTAGACAAGTTTGATTGAATTCCCAAAAGCAAGTTGATTGATTATTTAAACCTGACCTGGAGCCTCCCAGAGAGGAGGAGGGAAGCAGGAATCGCCAACGCTTGAGATGGCCCTGAAGGTGAGAGTGTTGTCACCCAGCCCGACCACTGCCCCTCAGGCCTCGGCCACCCACCACCTTCCTCTGGAAACCTGGGAGGTCTTCCTCCATAGGAACGGATTTCATGGGTGTATTTAGAGCAACTTCTTATTTAGTAAATAAGAAAACTGAGACCCGGTGAAGGTAACAGGTTTTCCAGTGACTCCAGAAGCAGGGCAAGAAGTCAGGACCTTTTGCCCATTTTATTTCCTACTGTATCACCGGCTGTCGCTAGATAAACATGACCTTGACAAGGTGAGGTGGAGGCAAGAGTGTCATGGGACCTCAGTGGTAGCACAATAATGTTGGGAACCAGTTGCCTGTGTCCAGTGGGGAAAGACATACTTTTCAGAGTCAGAACTGGGGGAGGAAGGGGAGTAACAGCCTAGAATAGATACAGAGAATGAGGGAGAAGGGAGGTGTGCTATCCCCTCCTTTCCCTCCTTCCCACTCCCTGCTGTTTCCAGCAACAACCCCACTCCCCAGCCACCACCAGGGAGTCATTGCTGGCCACTGAGCACCTCTTGAGGCAAAAGCTTTTCTGGAAGCCATGGAGATGGAAGAAATGGAGGTAACTTCCCTGTACTTGGAGTTGAGGCATGCACACGCACATGCACACACACACACACACACACAACATTGCAGGATCCTCTGCCCCTCGAGTGTTTCCTGATACACAGCAATGTTTTTTGTTTGTTTGTTTGTTTTTGGTTTTTTTTGTTGTTTTTTTGAGACAGAGTCTCGCTCTGTCCCCCAGGCTGGAGTGCAGTGGTACAATCTTGGCTCACTGCAACCTCCACCTCCCGGGTTCAAGTGATTCTCCTGCCTCAGCCTCCTGAGTAGCTGGGATTACAGGTATGCACCACCACA